AACACAACAACAACACAACACAACAACACCAACAACATCAACACCAACAACACCAACAACATCACCAACACCAACAACACCACCATCACCAACAACACCAACAACACCAACAACATCAACACCAACAACACCAACACCAACAACATCAACACCAACAACAACAACAACATCACCAACAACAACAACACCAACAACATCACCAACACCAACAACAACACCAACAACACCACCAACAAAAACACCAACAACAAGACCAACAACATCACCAACAACACCAACAACCACACCAACAACACCAACAACACCAACAACAACACCAACAACAACACCAACAACACCAACAACACCACCACCAACAACAAGACCAACAACACCAACAACAACAACATCACCAACAACAACACCAACAACATCACCAACACCAACAACACCAACAACAACAACACCAACAACAACAACAAGACCAACAACAACAACATCACCAACACCAACAACAACACCACCAACAACAACACCAACAACATCACCAACACCAACAACACCAACAACAACACCAACAACAACAACAACAACACCAACAACAACATCACCAACAACACCAACAACAACAAGACCAACAACATCACCAACAACAACAACACCAACAACAACAACACCAACAACACCAACAACAACACCAACAACACCACCACCAACAACAAGACCAACAACAACATCACCAACAACATCACCAACAACAACAACAACACCAACAACAACAACACCAACAACAAAAACATCACCAACAACAACACCAACAACATCACCAACACCAACAACACCAACAACAACACCAACACAACAACAAGACCAACAACAACAACATCACCAACAACACCAACAACAACAACACTAACAACAACAACACCAACAACATCACCAACACCAACAACAACACCAACAAGACCAACAACATCACCAACAACACCAACAACAACAACAACAAGACCAACACCAACAACAACACCAACAACAACAAGACCAACAACATCACCAACAACAACAATACCAACAACACCAACAACAACACCACCAACAACAACACCAACAACAACAACACCAACAACAACAACACCAACAACATCACCAACACCACCAACAACAACAATAACAACACCAACAACAACAATACCAACACCACCAACAAGACCAACAACAAGACCAACAACAACAACAACACCAACAACAACAACACCAACAACAACACCAACCACACCAACAACAACACCAACAACACCAACAACACCAACCACACCAACAACAACACCAACAACACCAACAACAACAACAATACCAACAACAACACCAACCACACCAACAACAACAACACCAACAACCCCAACAACCCCAACACCACCACCACCACCACCACCAACAACCCCAGCAACATCACCAAGAACAACACCACCAACAACAACCACACCAACAACAACACCAACAACACCAACAACAACAACAACAATACCAACAACACCAACAACAACAACACCAACCACACAAAGTGGCGGTGACGTCACGACAGCGGTCGTGCCAGGCTAGGTGGATGGACCCCCTCACGACTCACGAGATGTCGTCCCGCGTGTCTCCCCGTCCGTCTTTGTATCCCCACAACCACTCCCAATCACCCTCGACCCCCACACAACACCACCCCCTTCACCCCCCCCTCCCACCCCCTTCACCCCCCCCTCCCACCCCCTTCACCCCCCCTCCCACCCCCTTCACCCCCCCTCCCACCCCCTTCACCCCCCCCTCCCACCCCCTTCCCACCCCCTTCACCCCCCTCCCACCCCCTTCACCCCCCCTCCCACCCCCTTCACCCCCCTCCCACCCCCTTCACCCCCCTCCCACCCCCTTCACCCCCCTCCCACCCCCTTCAACCCCAACCCTCACCCACCCCCAACCCTCACCCACCCACCCCCACCCCTCACCCTCCCACCCCCACTCTTCACCCACCCCCCCTTACCTCATCACCCCCCTCACCCCCACCCCACCCCCACCCACCCCCACCCCACCCTGCCCCTTTACCCCACCCCGCCTACCCACCCCCACCTACTCCGCCCCTTTACCCCCTCACCCCCACCCCACCCTGCCCCTCTACACCCACCCCACCCCCACCCACCCCACCCCCACCCCACCCACCCCACCCCCACCCCACCCACCCCACCCCACCCCCACCCCACCCACCCCACCCCCACCCACCCCACCCCACCCCACCCACCCCACCCCACCCACCCCACCCCACCCCCACCCCACCCACCCCACCCCCACCCCACCCACCCCACCCCCACCCCACCCCACCCCACCCCACCCCACCCACCCCACCCCCACCCCACCCACCCCACCCCACCCACCCCGCCCCTTTACCCCACCCCCACCCACCCTGCCCCTTTACCCCACCTACCCCACCCCACCTACCCCACCCACCCCACCCCCACCCCACCCCCACCCCCACCCCTCTACCCCCCCCACCCCCCACCCACCCCCGCAGGCAGCACCGCGACGCCGAGGAGGCTCTGGACAGCTTCGAGAACGTTGACGGGGGCGGCGACGGCGCCGGGGGCGACGAGGAGGGCGGCGGGGGGGGCTCGGGCGGGGGCGCGGGGGGGGGGCGGGGCGGGGGGGGGCGGGGCGGGGGGCGGGGCGGGGGGCGGGGGGGACTCCAAGCGGCTGGGCGTGGACGGGGTGGAGGGCCACGCGGCGCCCGGCTGGTGGCGCCGCTACCGGCCCCGGATCTGGGCCCTGTTCGAGGAGCCTTACTCCTCCAAGCACGCCAGGGTAGGGTGGCACGGAGGGGGTGACGACACGGGGGGGGTGACGACACGGGGGGGGTGACGACACGGGGGGGTGACGACACGGGGGGGTAATACAGCGGGGTGACACGGGGTGATATGGGGGGTGACACGGGGGGTGACACGGGGTGATATGGGGGGTGACACGGGGGGTGACACGGGGTGATACGGGGGGTGACACAGGGGGTGACACGGGGTGATACGGGGGGTGACATGGGGTGATACGGGGGGTGACATGGGGGGTGACACGGGGGGTGACACGGGGGGTGACACAGGGGGTGATACGGGGGGTGACACGGGGGGTGACATGGGGTGATACGGGGGGTGACACGGGGGGTGACACGGGGTGATACGGGGGGTGACATGGGGTGATACGGGGGGTGACATGGGGTGATACAGGGGGTGACACGGGGGGTGACACGGGAGGTGACAGAGAGGGTGACACGGGGGGTGACACAAGGGGTGTTCGTAAGTGTGGGGTGTTCTTAAGTGTGGGGTGTTCGTAAGTGAGGGGTGTTCTTAAGTGTGGAGTGTTCTTAAGTGTGGGGTGTTCTTAAGTGTGGGGTGTTCGTAAGTGAGGGGTGTTCGTAAGTGTGGGGTGTTCGTAAGTGTGGGGTGTTCGTAAGTGAGGGGTGTTCTTAAGTGTGGGGTGTTCGTAAGTGTGGAGTGTTCTTAAGTGTGGGGTGTTCTTAAGTGTGGGGTGTTCGTAAGTGAGGGGTGTTCGTAAGTGTGGGGTGTTCGTAAGTGTGGGGTGTTCGTAAGTGAGGGGTGTTCTTAAGTGTGGGGTGTTCGTAAGTGTGAGGTGTTCGTAAGTGTGGGGTGTTCGTAAGTGTGAGGTGTTCGTAAGTGTGGGGTGTTCGTAAGTGTGGGGTGTTCGTAAGTGAAGGGTGTTCGTAAGTGTGGGGTGTTCGTAAGTGTGGGGTGTTCGTAAGTGTGGGGTGTTCGTAAGTGTGGGGTGTTCGTAAGTGTGGGGGTGTTCGTAAGTGTGAGGTGTTCGTAAGTGTGAGGTGTTCGTAAGTGTGAGGTGTTCGTAAGTGTGGGGTGTTCGTAAGTGTGGGGTGTTCGTAAGTGTGGGGTGTTCGTAAGTGTGGGGGTGTTCGTAAGTGTGGGGTGTTCGTAAGTGTGAAGTGTTCGTAAGTGTGGGGTGTTCGTAAGTGTGGGGTGTTCGTAAGTGAGGGATGTTCGTAAGTGTGGGGTGTTCGTAAGTGTGAGGTGTTCGTAAGTGTGAGGTGTTCGTAAGTGTGAGGTGTTCGTAAGTGAGGGGTGTTCGTAAGTGTGGGGTGTTCGTAAGTGTGGGGTGTTCGTAAGTGAGGGGTGTTCGTAAGTGTGGGGTGTTCGTAAGTGTGGGGTGTTCGTAAGTGTGGGGTGTTCGTAAGTGTGAGGTGTTCGTAAGTGTGAGGTGTTCGTAAGTGTGAGGTGTTCTTAAGTGTGAGGTGTTCGTAAGTGTGAAGTGTTCGTAAGTGTGGGGTGTTCGTAAGTGTGGGGTGTTCGTAGGTGCGGGGCGGTTCGTGAATGGTGGCGTTCGTAAGTTCGGCCGTTCACAAGTCGAAGACAGCCTGTGTATGCATACATAGCCAGTGGAATCTAGACCCGCAGGAGAGACCGCGCGGCTTTCCACGTCAGGAATCACGAAGAGAACTCCAGACCCCTCCCCTCCGCGTCCGTAGGCTGACGGAGACCCCCCCCCCCCTCCGCTGTGTGCGTGCGTGTCTCTCCCTCTGCGTGCGTGTCTCTCCCTCTGCGTGCGTGTCTCTCCCTCTGCGTGCGCGTGTCTCTCCCTCTGCGTGCGTGCGTGTCTCTCCCTCTGCGTGCGCGTGTCTCTCCCTCTGCGTGCGTGCGTGTCTCTCCCTCTGCGTGCGCGTGTCTCTCCCTCTGCATGCGCGTGTCTCTCCCTCTGCGTGCGTGCGTGTCTCTCCCTCTGCGTGCGTGCGTGTCTCTCCCTCTGCGTGCGCGTGTCTCTCCCTCTGCGTGCACGTGTCTCTCCCTCTGCGTGCGTGCGTGTCTCTCCCTCTGCGTGCGTGTGCGTGTCTCTCCCTCTGCGTGCGTGCGTGTCTCTCCCTCTGCGTGCACGTGTCTCTCCCTCTGCGTGCGTGCGTGTCTCTCCCTCTGCGTGCATGCGTGTCTCTCCCTCTGCGTGCACGTATCTCTCCCTCTGCGTGCGCGTGTCTCTCCCTCTGCGTGCGCGTGTCTCTCCCTCTGCGTGCGCGTGTCTCTCCCTCTGCGTGCGTGCGTGTCTCTCCCTCTGCGTGCGCGTGTCTCTCCCTCTGCGTGCGTGCGTGTCTCTCCCTCTGCGTGCGCGTGTCTCTCCCTCTGCGTGCGCGTGTCTCTCCCTCTGCGTGCGCGTGTCTCTCCCTCTGCGTGCGTGCGTGTCTCTCCCTCTGCGTGTGCGTGTCTCTCCCTCTGCGTGCGCGTGTCTCTCCCTCTGCGTGCGCGTGTCTCTCTCCCTCTGCGTGCGCGTGTCTCTCCCTCTGCGTGCGTGCGTGTCTCTCCCTCTGCGTGCGCGTGTCTCTCTCCCTCTGCGTGCACGTGTCTCTCCCTCTGCGTGCGTGCGTGTCTCTCCCTCTGCGTGCGCGTGTCTCTCCCTCTGCGTGCGCGTGTCTCTCCCTCTGCGTGCGTGCGTGTCTCTCCCTCTGCGTGCGCGTGTCTCTCCCTCTGCGTGCGTGCGTGTCTCTCCCTCTGCGTGCGTGCGTGTCTCTCCCTCTGCCGTGTGCGTGTCTCTCCCTCTGCGTGCACGTGTCTCTCCCTCTGCGTGCGTGTCTCTCCCTCTGCGTGTGCGTGTCTCTCCCTCTGCGTGCGCGTGTCTCTCCCTCTGCGTGCGTGTCTCTCCCTCTGCGTGCGCGTGTCTCTCCCTCTGCGTGTGCGTGTCTCTCCCTCTGCGTGCGCGTGTCTCTCCCTCTGCGTGCGCGTGTCTCTCCCTCTGCGTGCGTGTCTCTCCCTCTGCGTGCACGTGTCTCTCCCTCTGTGTGCGCGTGTCTCTCCCTCTGCGTGCGCGTGTCTCCTCCCGCTGCGTGCGTGCGTGTCTCTCCCTCTGCGTGCGCGTGTCTCTCCCTCTGCGTGCGTGCGTGTCTCTCCCTCTGCGTGCGCGTGTCTCTCCCTCTGCGTGCGTGCGTGTCTCTCCCTCTGCGTGCACGTGTCTCTCCCTCTGCGTGCACGTGTCTCTCCCTCTGCGTGCGCGTGTCTCTCCTCTGCGTGCGTGCGTGTCTCTCCTTCTGCGTGCGTGCGTTGTCTCTCCCTCTGCGTGCACGTGTCTCTCCCTCTGCGTGCACGTGTCTCTCCCTCTGCGTGCGCGTGTCTCTCCCTCTGCGTGCGCGTGTCTCTCCCTCTGCGTGCGCGTGTCTCTCCCTCTGCGTGCGTGCGTGTCTCTCCCTCTGCGTGCACGTGTCTCTCCCTCTGCGTGCGCGTGTCTCTCCCTCTGCGTGCGTGCGTGTCTCTCCCTCTGCCTGTGCGGTGGTCTCTCCCTCTGCGTGCCGTGCGTATCTCTCCCTCTGCGTGCGCGTGTCTCTCCCTCTGCGTGCGTGCGTGTCTCTCCCTCTGCGTGCACGTGTCTCTCCCTCTGCGTGCGCGTGTCTCTCCCTCTGCGTGCGTGCGTGTCTCTCCCTCTGCGTGCACGTGTCTCTCCCTCCGCGTGCGCGTGTCTCTCCCTCTGCGTTGCGCGTGTCTCTCCCTCTGCGTGCGCGTGTCTCTCCCTCTGCGTGTGCGTGTCTCTCCCTCTGCGTGCGTGCGTGTCTCTCCCTCTGCGTGCGTGCGTGTCTCTCCCTCTGCGTGCGTGCGTGTCTCTCCCTCTGCGTGCGTGCGTGTCTCTCCCTCTGCGTGCGTGCGTGTCTCTCCCTCTGCGTGCGCGTGTCTCTCCCTCTGCGTGCGTGCGTGTCTCTCCCTCTGCGTGCGTGCGTGTCTCTCCCTCTGCGTGCGTGCGTGTCTCTCCCTCTGCGTGCGTGCGTGTCTCTCCCTCTGCGTGCGCGTGTCTCTCCCTCTGCGTGCGTGTCTCTCCCTCTGCGTGCGTGCGTGTCTCTCCCTCCGCGTGCGCGTGTCTCTCCCTCTGCGTGCGCGTGTCTCTCCCTCTGCGTGCGCGTGTCTCTCCCTCTGCGTGCGTGCGTGTCTCTCCCTCTGCGTGCGCGTGTCTCTCCCTCTGCGTGCGTGCGTGTCTCTCCCTCTGCGTGCGCGTGTCTCTCCCTCTGCGTGCGTGCGTGTCTCTCCCTCTGCGTGCGTGCGTGTCTCTCCCTCTGCGTGCGCGTGTCTCTCCCTCTGCGTGCACGTGTCTCTCCCTCTGCGTGCGCGTGTCTCTCCCTCTGCGTGCGCGTGTCTCTCTCCCTCTGCGTGCGCGTGTCTCTCCCTCTGCGTGCGTGCGTGTCTCTCCCTCTGCGTGCGCGTGTCTCTCCCTCTGCGTGTGCGTGTCTCTCCCTCTGCGTGCGCGTGTCTCTCCCTCTGCGTGCGTGCGTGTCTCTCCCTCTGCGTGCGCGTGTCTCTCCCTCTGCGTGCGCGTGTCCTCTCTCCCTCTGCGTGCGTGCGTGTCTCTCCCTCTGCGTGCGTGCGTGTCTCTCCCTCTGCGTGCGCGTGTCTCTCCCTCTGCGTGCGTGCGTGTCTCTCCCTCTGCGTGCGCGTGTCTCTCCCTCTGCGTGCGTGCGTGCAGTACGTGGCTCTGGCCTCGCTCTTCTTCATCCTCATGTCCATCACGTCCTTCTGCCTCGAGACTCACCGCTACTTCAACATCGAGCAGAACCGCACCGAGTGGGTGGCCCGCGGCAACGTCTCGGTGCCCCTGGTGTTCACCGAGCTCGTCACCGACCCGTCGCTGATGTACGTCGAGGGCCTCTGCGTCATGTGGTTCACCTTCGAGTTCCTCGTGCGCATCTGTTTCTGCCCGAACAAGCGCGAGTTCATCAAGTGCTCGCTCAACATCATCGACTTCGTCGCCATCCTGCCCTTCTACCTCGAGGTGGGCCTCAGCGGCCTCTCGTCCAAGGCGGCCAAGGACGTCCTCGGCTTCCTGCGCGTCGTCCGTTTCGTCCGCATCCTGCGCATCTTCAAGCTGACGCGTCACGTCGTGGGCCTGCGAGTGCTGGGCCACACGCTCCGCGCGAGCACCAACGAGTTCCTGCTGCTCATCACCTTCCTGGCCCTCGGCGTGCTCATCTTCGCCACGATGATCTACTACGCCGAGAAGATGGGGACCGACCCCGAGCACATGGACGAGAACCACTTCCAGAACATCCCCATCGGCTTCTGGTGGGCCGTCGTCACCATGACCACGCTCGGCTACGGCGACATGTTCCCGCAGACGTGGTCAGGGCGGCTCGTCGGCGCCCTCTGCGCCATCGCCGGGGTGCTCACCATCGCCATGCCGGTGCCCGTCATCGTCAACAACTTCGGCATGTACTACTCGCTCGCCATGGCCAAGCAGAAGCTGCCGAGCAAGAAGAACAAGTTCGTGCCGCGCTCGGCGCAGCCCGGCGCCTCGGGGGACAACAAGAGCGACGTCAACTCGCCCCGCGCCAGCATCACCAGCGACACGTGCCCCCTCGCGGAGGACGAGACGCGAAGCACGGGTGGGTGGAACGCGTCCCCGCTGGTGGGGCCGGGGGGAGAGAGATACGGGGGGGGGGACGTGGGGACATGGGGAGAGACACGGGGGACGTGGGGACATGGGGAGAGACACGGGGGACGTGGGGAGAGACACGGGGACATGGGGTGAGACACGGGGATGTGGGGAGAGACACGGGGACATGGAGGTGTGTAGGGAGAGACACTGTGGACATGGGAATGTAGGGAGAGACATGGGGCTGAGAGGACATGGGGAGAGACACGGGGGTGTGGGGAGAGACACGGGGACATGGAGGTGTGTAGGGAGAGACATGGGGCTGAGAGGACATGGGGAGAGACACGGGGAGAGACACGGGGGACATGGGGAGAGACGCGGGGGACACGGGGAGAGACACGGGGACATGGAGACATGGGGAGAGACACGGGGACATGGGGAGAGACACGGGGACATGGGGAGAGACACGGGGACATGGAGACACGGGGTGAGACACGGGGATGTGGGGAGAGACACGGGGACATGGGTATGTAGGGAGAGACATGGGGCTGAGAGGACATGGGGAGAGACACGGGGGACACGGGGAGAGACACGGGGACATGGAGGCACGGGGTGAGACGCGGGGACGCGACGACGTGTGGATACGCGGGACGCGGGGACAGCGAGCATGTGGGGACACAGGGACGCCGGGGGGATGGAGGCACAGCGCAGTGATAGCTGCGTCGTGGATGACTCCTCGCGGGGAGGAGGACGAGACACCCTGATGGCGCTGACGCGGAGACGTCGGCCCCCCCCCCCCCCGCCCCCACCGCCGCTGACATCGCCCCATCCCACGGCACCGCCGCAGTAGCAGACGGACAGAGAAAATGGCGTCCGGGCCTGGAGGAACAATGGCGGCTCTCGCAAGCCTCCTGACCGGCAAGGCGAGGCTTATAGATTCTGGCTCCCCCGGTGTGTGTCATCTGGCAGGTTAGAACGAAACTAAAGGATCCCTCTCTTGCGGTTACAATCGATGGCTTTAGCAGTGATCTGCCCCAATTATTGCCAAGTTCGAGAAGTGCGCGGGAGAGAGAGGGAGAGAGTAAGAGAGACAGAGAGAGACAGAGAGTAAGAGAGAAAGAGAGAGACAGAGAGAGAGAGAGAAAGAGCTCGCGGCTGAACTCTGCACTGGCCAAGAAGAGCGACGGCAAACGGGCCACGCGAACCGATGACCAATCTGCGGGTCAAGGGATGGCGTCCTTCTGGTCAACCATGTCATTAAATGCTAACGGTGTCCCGATTACTCCGATGAGTCGAGAGGAAATCGTCGCCTCGTTGATAGCGTCCGCAGCGTTGCTCAGTTGCCTGGCCTGTCGCTCCACACGAAGCTCCGGGTCTAACTCGGCCACTGTTTTCCTTGTTTTTTTTTGCCCTCCCTTCACTACGCTCGCGAAAATGTGTGTGGGGGGGGGGGATGAACATTTTCCGGCGCCGGTTAGAAACATTGTGGCTGGCCCTGCCCACGAAGCATCCAGGGTTTGGCCAGGTTTGGGTCAAAGTGTGAGGAGCTCACTGATCCTCTAGAGACCTGGAGACAGTCCCCACGATCAGTGAGCTCCTCCTGAGTGGGCGGGCGAGTGAGGGGGCGAGCGAGTGGGCGGGTGAATGAGTGGGTGAGTTGGCGGGTGAATGGGTGGGTGAGTGGGCGGGTGAATGGGTGGGTGAGTGGGCGGGTGAATGGGTGGGTGAGTGGGCGGGTGAATGGGTGGGTGAGTGGGCGGGTGAATGAGTGGGTGAGTGGGCGGGTGAATGGGTGGGTGAGTAGGCGGGGGTGAATGAGTGGTGAGTGGGCGGGTGAATGGGTGGGTGAGTGAATGGGTGGGTGAGTTGGCGAGTGAATGGGTGAGTGAGTGGGCGGGTGAATGAGTGGGTGAGTGAGTGGGTAGGTGAATGACTGGGTGAGTGGGCGAGTAAATGGGTGAGTGAGTGAATGGGTGGGTGAGCGAGTGGGTGACCGAGTGGGCGAGCGAATGGATGCATGGGTGCGTGAGTGTGAAATTATCTGGACACAGTTCCATCATCAGCGAGCTACTTTGCCAGATGATGCTGCATTGGCTGGGTCATGTAGCCCGCATGCCCAGCTAGCAATGCCATACGGAATGCATGATGTGTGTGCGCGTGTGTGCTTTGCGTGTATACTATGTGTGTGTGTGTGTGCGTGTGCTACATGCGTGTGTGTACGTCGCGAGCGTGCTACGTGTGCAGCCTATGGGGATAGACAGGGGGGGTCCCTGCGTGCGTGTCTGCGTGCGTGTCTGCGTGCACTGTGCGTGCACTGTGTGTGTCGTGTGTGTCGTGGGGAGCGGTGGGTGCAGTGGCTTAGCGCGCTGCAATGCGGAACCCAACCCAGCCGGAAGACCCCCCCCCCCCCCCCCCCCCGCGGGGTTCAACTCCCAACTCACGGCCAGCGAAAGCAGCGATGGCGACGATCTGAATTGACCCGAGAACCTTCTCCGGCGTGTTAAGCATCGCCGACCCGGGTTCCATTCCCGCCCGTGGCCAACGCCGCCGGTGACGATTGTCCCAACCGGTCCTGGGGCCCTCTCCCCCCCCACCCCAGGTCGACTCGGGCTCAAACGAGAACCCGGTGCAGCGGTGGTGTCGTGCAACATCGCCGCTTTTTGGGGGGGCGGGAGAGAGAAGACAAAGGCGGCCGGGCGCGGCGCTGGGCCACATAGCCGCTGCTCACAACTAACAGCACTTGCCCCCGATGGTCTGCTGCCGGGGGGCCACGCTGGGGGAAACCCTCTGTCTTTGTCTTGTGCGTGTGTGTGTGCGTGTGTGTGTGTGTGCGTGTGTGTGCGTGTACACCTATGCGTGCGTAGCCTGTAAGAGGAATGGGGATGGCGACACGGTCCTATCAGATGAAGAGTCCGCCCTGGCCCAGCCTCTGTCCCCGAGCGAGGCCGTCGTGTGCACGGGGCCGCGGCGACCGGGCCACGGCCTCGGTTTGGGGCACGGGCGGGAGACGACGCGGCGCAGCAACGCGGCCGCCGCAGCCGCCGCCGCTTGCTTCCTGCTGTCCACCTCCGACTACGACAGCGGCAGTGCACGCAAGGGTGAGGGCGGTGACGGCCGCGCTGCACCGGGGGAGACCGCGTCACTGCCGGGACAATAGGGGGAGGTGTCACTGCCGGGACAATAGGGGGCTGTGTCACTGCCGGGACAATAGGGGGAGGTGTCACTGCTAGGACAATAGGGGGAGGTGTCACTGCCGGGACAATAGGGGGCTGCGTCACTGCCGGGACAATAGGGGGCTGTGTCACTGCTAGAACAATAGGGGACTGCGTCACTGCCGGGACAATAGGCGACTGTGTCACTGCTAGGAAAATTGGCCACTGTGTTACTGCTAGGACAATAGGCGACTGTGTCACTGCCAGGACAATAGGCGACTGCGTCACTGCTAAAACAATAGGCGACTGTGTCACTGCCGGGACAATAGGGGGCTGTGTCACTGCCGGGACAATAGGGGGCTGTGTCACTGCCGGGACAATAGGGGGCTGTGTCACTGCCGGGACAATAGGGGGAGGTGTCACTGCTAGGACAAAAAGTGATTGTGTCACTGCCGGGACAATAGGGGGCTGCGTCACTGCCGGGACAATAGGGGGCTGTGTCACTGCTAGAACAATAGGGGACTGCGTCACTGCCGGGACAATAGGCGACTGTGTCACTGCTAGGAAAATTGGCCACTGTGTTACTGCTAGGACAATAGGCGACTGTGTCACTGCCAGGACAATAGGCGACTGCGTCACTGCTAAAACAATAGGCGACTGTGTCACTGCTAGGACAATAGGGGGCTGCGTCACTGCCGGGACAATAGGCGACTGTGTCACTGCCGGGACAATAGGGGAAGGTGTCACTGCCGGGACAATAGGGGGAGGTGTCACTGCCGGGACAATAGGGGGCTGTGTCACTGCTAGAACAATAGGGGACTGCGTCACTGCCGGGACAATAGGCGACTGTGTCACTGCTAGGAAAATTGGCCACTGTGTTACTGCTAGGACAATAGGCGACTGTGTCACTGCCAGGACAATAGGCGACTGCGTCACTGCTAAAACAATAGGCGACTGTGTCACTGCTAGGACAATAGGGGGCTGCGTCACTGCCGGGACAATAGGCGACTGTGTCACTGCCGGGACAATAGGGGAAGGTGTCACTGCCGGGACAATAGGGGGCTGTGTCACTGCCGGGACAATAGGGGGCTGCGTCACTGCCGGGACAATAGGGGGCTGCGTCACTGCCGGGACAATAGGGGGAGGTGTCACTGCCGGGACAATAGGGGGCTGCGTCACTGCTAGGACAATAGGGGGCTGTGTCACTGCCGGGACAATAGGGGGCTGTGTCACTGCCGGGACAATAGGCGACTGCGTCACTGCTAGGACAATAGGGGGCTGTGTCACTGCTGGGACAATAGGGGACTGCGTCACTGCCGGGACAATAGGGGGCTGCGTCACTGCCGGGACAATAGGGGGCTGTGTCACTGCTGGGACAATAGGCGACTGCGTCACTGCCGGGACAATAGGCGACTGTGTCACTGCTGGGACAATAGGGGGCTGCGTCACTGCTAGGACAATAGGCGACTGTGTCACTGCCGGGACAATAGGCGACTGTGTCACTGCTGGGACAATAGGCGCCTGTGTCACTGCTAGGACAAAAGGTGACTGCGTCACTGCTAGGACAATAGGCGACTGTGTTACTGCTAGAACAATAGGCGACTGTGTTACTGCTAGAACAATAGGCGACTGCGTCACTGCTAGAACAATAGGCGACTGTGTCACTGCCGGGACAATAGGCGACTGCGTCACTGCCAGGACAAAAGGTGACTGTGTCACTGCTAGGACAATAGGCGACTGCGTCACTGCTGGGACAAAAGGTGACTGCGTCACTGCTAGGACAATAGGTGACTGCGTCACTGCTAGGACAATAGGCGACTGTGTCACTGCTGGGACAATAGGCGACTGTGTTACTGCTAGAACAATAGGCGACTGTGTCACTGCTAGAACAATAGGCGACTGCGTCACTGCCAGGACAAAAGGTGACTGTGTCACTGCTAGGACAATAGGCGACTGCGTCACTGCCAGGACAAAAGGTGACTGCGTCACTGCTAGGACAATAGGTGACTGCGTCACTGCTAGGACAATAGGTGACTGTGTCACTGCTGGGACAATAGGCGACTGTGTCACTGCTGGGACAATAGGGGACTGTGTCACTGCTAGAACAATAGGCGACTGTGTCACTGCTAGAACAATAGGCGACTGTGTCACTGCTAGAACAATAGGTGACTGTGTCACTGCTAGAACAATAGGCGACTGTGTCACTGCTAGAACAATAGGTGATTGTGTCACTGCTAGAACAATACGTGACTGTTTCACTGCTAGAACAATAGGCGACTGTGTCACTGCTAGAATAATAGGTGACTGTGTCACTGCTAGAACAATACGTGACTGTGTCACTGCTAGAACAATAGGTGACTGTGTCACTGCTCGAACAATAGGTGACTGTGTCACTGCTAGAACAATAGGCGACTGTGTCACTGCTAGAACAATAGGTGACTGTGTCACTGCTAGGACAATAGGCGACTGTGTCACTGCTAGGACAATAGGCGACTGTGTCACTGCTAGAACAATAGGCCACTGTGTCACTGCTAGAACAATAGGTGACTGTGTCACTGCTAGAATAATAGGCGACTGTGTTACTGCTAGAACAATAGGCGACTGTGCCACTGCTAGAACAATAGACGACTGCGTCACTGCTAGAACAATAGGTGACTGTGTCACTGCTAGAATAATAGGCGACTGTGTTACTGCTAGAACAATAGGCGACTGTGCCACTGCTAGAACAATAGACGACTGCGTCACTGCTAGAACAATAGACGACTGCATCACTGCTGGGACAATACACGACTGTGTCACTTCTAGAACAATACAAACACACAATACACACACACACATAGTGTGCACACCGCATGAACACCAAACAGAGCATACGCACAGCATGTACAACAGAGCACGTGAAATGCATTCAGTATGTCATGGCTGGGCATGCGGGCTACATGACCCAGCCAGTGCAGCCTTGCCTGCCAGAGTAGCTCACTGATGATGGGACCGTGTCGAGAGCCTTCAAGGATCTTTGAGCTCCTCACGCAATCCAGCCTGGCTTAACCCAGGATGGATTGTGGGCATGCCAACCTAAATGTTTCTTACCGGCGAAGATGTTTCAATGGCGGGGGGGGGGGGGGGGGGGGGGGTTCACGTTTCGCAAGCGTAGAGAAGGGAGGGCATGACGGTGTCCGAGAAGACCCGAAGCTTCGTGCGGAGTGGCAGACCAGGTGGCTTCCACAGCAGCGTCACGCGGCCGATGAAAAGATAATGCCGCTCGGCCGATTTCGAGTGAGACTTCCGCTGCCAAATCAGAGGTGGTCATGAGCACCCTGCCCAGGTCCGCAAATCTCTCCACTCCCTCCACAACTGACCCACCACTTATGGGGGAGTTGACGGTGCGGGGTTCTTGATGGCATTAAATACCCAGGCAGATGCTTAAGTTTTCGTGTGGCTGATGGTAAGGTACCCCCACCTCTGATAAGAAAGCTCCAGCTTCGCCAACTCCTCAGGGTGAGCGGCAGTCACACAGATCGCCGGCATATCAAACACGGTTGACCAATAGAGAAGCCAACCCTTGACCGCACCCGCGCACCAACCAGCCTCCCGTTGTCTCTGTAACCAGACGGAGATTCCTCCGGTGCAGCCGTGGAAAGTTCGTCGAAACACGTGGCCGAAGCAACGTTCGGTAATGTGGGAGCCAGAGGACATTGCTTTCGCGCCCCAAGGTGAACAGGGAATGGCTCCGACTCCCGGGCCACGTCCGTAGCTCTAACCGGGGCCGTTCATGATTCTGAGCAGAGAGTCAGGGACACAAAGAACAGCCCAGAGCCCTGGCCTGTTGATGGTATCACCGTGCCTTGACAAGATCAATAAAGCAGAGATGTAGGTCCCGTTGGAATTCCATACGTGACGTGGTCTCTGTCCGTCTTCTCTCACTGATCAATATCCGCATGCACGTCATCACCACCATCGTCATTCCCACAACAAAGGCAAAGATCTTCCGTGTCAGCCTGAACGGGCTGTTGGGGTAAGCGCTGTTAGTGGCGACGAGCAGCAGCTACGAAGGTTGGCACTGTGGCGCACGACGGGGTGGTTGGCCAACACCACGCCCGACCGCCTTTGTCTCCCCAGTAGCGATGTTTACCACACACCGCACCAGGTATTCATTTGAGGCTGAGTAGACCTAGGGGAGGCCCAGGGCCGGTACGGATAATCGTCACTGGTGTTGGCCCGAGCGGGATTCGAACTCGGGTGGCCGGGTTTGTAGCGCAGCGTAGCGCTAACCGCTTACGCAATTTCATCATCATCACCACCATCATCACAATCAGAATCAATCATCACCACCACCACCACCAAAATCATCAATCATCATCATCATCACCACCATCATCATCATCACCATCATCACAATCATCATCAATATCATCACCACCATAATCACAATCATCATCACCACCACAATCATCATCACCACCACAATCATCATCACCACCACCACCACAATCATCATCATCACCACCATCACCACAATCATCATCAATTATCATCATCACCACCACCACAATCATCATCAATTATCATCATCATCACCACCACCACAATCATCATCAATCATTATCATCATCACCACCACCACAAACATCATCATCATCACCACCACCACAATCATCATCAATCATTATCATCATCACCACCACCACAATCATCAATCATCATCACCACCACCACAATCATCATCAATCATTATCATCATCACCACAATCATCATCATCATCACCACCACAATCATCAATCATCACCACCACCACCACAATCATCATCATCACCACCATCACCACAATCATCATCAATTATCATCATCACCACCACCACAATCATCATCAATTATCATCATCATCACCACCACCACAATCATCATCAATCATTATCATCATCACCACCACCACAAACATCATCAT